AAGCAGTGGTATCAACGCAGAGTACTACTGCTTCGGTTTAGCAACTTTCGAAAATTCCGATTACACCTAAGGGTGCCTTGGAAAAGTTGAATTATGATGATTTTATCCCGGAAAACTTGATGAATCGGAAGCAGAAAACGACCTCTAGAAAGAGGAGAAAAAGCTGCATCGAATGGCATCCGAGTCGCTTGCCGGTTATTGTTCTGTGAGGTTTGACTTGACTAAATATGGAATTTGATGGCATTGAAAAATTGATTGTAGAAATTCTGAGATTTAAGCTAAGGAAAAGAAAAAAATTACTCTGTGTTCTATACTGTTTGCTCTATCAACCTGCCACTTGTACTTTTTCGGAGATTAGGTACGAAAATTTAGAAAAATAGCCGAACTTGACCATGGCAAAAAGCACGAGTCGCAGATTTTGGTAATTTTTCGAGAGCTCATCAAACATTATGCAGTGGTATTAGAACCATTGGAAAGAGAATGAAATGCTGCATCGGATGCCCTTAAGATCTCTTGAAAATGTTGATTCCACAATTAGTGGCGTTCATTCGAAAAAAGCGACATTACTTTCGGAACGACCTAATATATATATATATATATCATCGGCTCCACGAGTCGTGTAGAGGCGGGGTTTTGCCAACTCAAAGCGTGGCGGTTTTATAGCGAGAGAGTACAAAAAACAATGCTATGACGTGGAGGTTTAACAAGTTTACCTGTGTTATCAAGTAAAGTCTGCAATACACCTCTACACGAATCGTGGAGACGATCATATATATCATTGGCGTATCGAGGGGGGGGGCGGCCCCCCCCCCCCCGAGAACGGGTCGCGAAATTTTTGAAAGTTACTTGCATGGGTTATAAAAATGTGCAAGTGACTTGTTTTCACTTGTAAATAATTAAAATAATTTTTAAAATTTTTCAAAAATTCATTTTAGCCTTATAAAAAATTTTTTTTCGGGGCGTGGCTGACGCCACGCCCCCAAATTTTTGTCGCCCCCCCCCCCGAGCCGAAATCCTGGGTACGCCACTTATATATATATATATATATATATATATCAGTGGCGTACCCAGGATTTCGGCTCGGGGGGGGCGCGACAAAAATTTTTTTCTAAAGAAGGTGCGTGGCGTTAGCCACGCACTCCGAAAAAATTTTGGGGGTGCTTCTCAAAATTTTTGCGGGTCCCCGACCCCTAAAATCTGGAAAAAGGGGGCGTGGCGTCAGCCACGCCCCGAAAAAAATTTTTTTACAAGGCTAATTTGAATTTTTAAAAATTTTTAAAAATTATTTTAATTATTTACAAAAATAAACAAGTCACTTGCACATTTTTATAACCCATATAAGTAACTTTCAAAAATTTCGCGACCCATTCTCGGGGGGGGCGCGCGCCCCCCCCCCGCCCCCCCCCTCGGTACGCCACTGATATATATATATATATATACATGCGATTTCTCTAGTGTTCTGTGGCGCATGTTCCACGAAGTACTTGGTTAATATACTTCTTTCTTTTCATCAAAATAGCCATAACCACTGTAAATCCACGCCATCAGGCTGCCTTTTGAGGGAATATATTTGTCAAAACTCGCAAAATTTCTCATATTTGAACGCTCATAACTACTGCTAGATAGTCGCTTGGCAAATAAAAAACAAATTTGAAATTAGCGTTTTAAGACAAATCCGATGATATACAGTTTGTTTGGAATGGCTGGGTTAATTCTGACTATTTCCTCGTAAGCATCCGCCCGAAACCGGAAACGTCGAACTCCTTCACAGCTTGGGAGGATCTACCAGTGTATGCACGGCTGTGCATCGCAGTTCGACACCCAGTGTCATCCACACGCCATGTTGAGGCGAGGACCATTGTGGGGAACCAGTGATAACTTATCGTTATGTGACAGACATCATAAACAGCATAAGATAGAATTTGAGAGAGAAACGTGAAAAATTAGTGTAATTGGACTTAGGACTCTTGAGTAAATCTTACACTCCGGTTTCGGGGCTGCGAGTATATCGTGTGGTTTTCTTGCTAGAGTGGGTTGGCTTGTAGCCATGTTTTCAACCATGAAAGTGGAAGGTGTACTGCAGTGTGAAACTCGTAGTAGAATATCTCTATCATGAAGCGTATGGAATGGAGCTTGGTTGAAATTATTGCAATCCCACACGTTATGCATACAACTTGTTTGGATCGGGCGGAGTAAGTTCTGACCATTCTCTTGTCACTAGAGAGCTGCTGACAGGGCCCGTCACAGATTGTCTGGAAGCAGGCTGGAATTCGTTTTTGGAGCAAAAGCAAAGGGGCTCTCGTGTTTGCAAAGTCGGGATCGATCACCAAGGATAAGCGCCATTCAATCGAACACAAGCTTTTGAACAGGTTATCAACAGTTGGCATGCTCTATCGTGTATGACGAAAAGTGCGCGCGATTCAAACGCAAGGCTAAAATAAACAAAATGCTTGTTTACAGCTCACACAAAATCATATGACATTATGAACCGTATACATAAAACATTATTTGCGGAAGAACTGTGTAAAAAGATTTGAAAACTTATGTGAAGAAACACCTTTTCCATAATTGGTCGTCTTCAGATGAGAGCGTCTGAAGCATATATTTCTGTCACTTGACAAAGCTTTCGGATTTTCTTAGCATGGATGGATTCTCCGGTCAAAAATCTGTCCCTGAGCATAAAGACATTTTCATATCATTGCCTTTCCTTTGTTTTTTGCCTTAATTTCTTTATGAATGGCTTTGTTAGATATCGCGCTCCAATGCCAAACCCCTATGCATATGTAGTATGTATTCAGCTCCAATCTGGATTTCAGTCTTATCTCACGTTTCTTCTTTCAGACTAGTAAATTTTTAATGTTTTCATCTTCCTTTAAGTCGGTAATACAAAGGGGACTTCGTCAAGATTTCAAAAGTCAGAGGGACTTCGTTTTCAAAAAGCCTAGAAACGGACTCGTGCCGCGCCCTGGCTGCTGAAGCATTTTTACATCAGAACCGTAGCAAGAAAATCCATCAAAATAGAAATCTGCATCAAAAGTATGTCTTACTATCACTTGTGAGTGGTTATCATTTATGAGTTAAATTCACTGAAGTGTCACCACTTGTGCACTTACACCAACACTGATGGGATATTCCTAACATATATGTCTAACGGGCAGTGTGTCGACCCGAGAGGAGAGATCTACACTCTTTGCTTGTCAACATGCATGGTCCAAAGAGCCCTTAAAATCTGTATATTGAGTCGCCGAATTCAGTCTTTGACGACGGCGAATCTCGACTTAGCCAATACAAGGTCTATATACATCAATCTCGTGGTGGCGCAATGTTTTTGTCATTCTCACCTTTTCACAATACCAATATAAGGGCCTGCAGGATCGCGAGAGTCGGACGTGCGTACGGCCATTGCGCCGCGCACGTCCGATGTCACTAAGGCAGATGCCAGACTTAGCCGCATCAGCCGGTTCGTTCGGTTCATAGGTCGAATCATTACACTGTTCAACAGTAAAGGTGGTGAATCGAATGAATTTGTTAAACAGGATAAGTCTGGCACCTGCCTGAGTCGTCGGACGCACATCTGACGTGCGCGGCGCAATGGCCGTATGCACGTCCGACTCTCGCGATCTTGCAGGCCCCTATATGAAGTTCGTGATCGCGAAACACCAGCTTTCCAAAAGTCTTTCCTGGCAAGCGCGGACAAGTGCAGCGAAGTAGGCTCCATTGCAAGCTGGACATGTTTTGACGCGGCAAGCACAATCGTTACGCAGTATGCGGTCGAGCTTTGCCACACAGGGCCCGACATGCGTTGGCTTGCAGTTTTTGAAAACAAAGTGCCCCATGACCTCGCAAATATTTACGAAGGCCTTACTGACGTAAAGACTAGTAAGAAAATAACGATAGTTAAAAAACAACAAAAAAAAGAACGACTGTCTCATTTCAAAGGACGCCCCAGCAGACATGTGACTGGAACGTCATATCTTTGCCTGAGTTTACCAATACTATTTTTGGCTTCAAAAAGAGGGGAGGCAATGGTTCGATTTGCACCATCATTTTGAATTTGACGCGCCTGATGAGAAAGAACACGTTAGAGCATGTCATTCATGTATCGACTTGGTGGTTAGCATATCTGAAGGTCACTTACATGTATCGTCCCCTCCACAGCTCGTGCTACCCTTGTGGCGTCGCTGACGTGCCACGCGTGACTAACACATTGGCAACGTTGGCAGCGACACGTTGGCATGCAGCCAATGTTGGCCTGGCCAAAATGTTCTGCCAACGTGTTGTGGCATGTTGCAAACATGTTGTTGCCACATTGCCAACATGTTAGCCACGCGTGGCAGGTTGAGACGCAGCCCAAAGGTAGCACGAGCTGTGGAGGGGACGACATGCTTAGCAAATTTTACGACACCCCCTTTTAGCCCAAAAACGAAGTTCTGTTTGACTCCAAACCATCTCTGCCGGACCCTGTTGCCACATCAAATGGTCAGAGAAGATGAGGGTGGTACCCAACTGGACGGAGTAACCATCTGGGCAAAGTGACATCTTCCTGCTCCGGGAGGAGCGTCCCGCTTTGGGAGCAACCTTTGGCAACGCAAATTGGGCATTTCGTTCGAGGGCACATATTCCATCACAATCGTCACTTCCCACCTTGTGGACAGTGCATTTGATCGTTAAGCCACCCCGCTTTACGTTCATCATGAAGCTCATTCTTAGGCCCGTATGCACGTGTATCCGCATTGCAGGGGAAAGGAAGTGAGAGGGAACGCTCCATATTTTACTACCCTAGAATATGTATTCTTTTTTGTCTGGGTTATAAAGGTTTGTACTCTGATGCTTGAGTATAGTGAATAGTTCCTTGTTTTCACAGTCATCTATCTTTCCAGGAAGTACATTGTAAAGTTCTACTGAGGATCCACTATGGCACTGAAATAAGCGGTTCATCGAAGATTTCGTGAAATTCACTAATTCCTACTATAAACATGTTTGGAGTGCCGTAGTATATCCTCGGTACAATTTTACAGCACTTACTTTCATCGAGTTCGTAGGAAGATCAATGACTTTGAGGTGATCCTTTGGGGATCCTCTGGGGGATCACACGAAACAGTGAAAATTCAGTTTGTAAGGTGAGTTCTGTCATCCATTATTTTCTAAGATTAGGGTTTCAGAACCTTCACAAGATAAGTAGGACAGGAAGCAGATATGTGAAATAGCGAGATATGACGGGTCCCTTCTTACAGGGAAACAGTCAGAAGTCGAAGTGGCTAATCCAAGCAAGCTGCATACCATTTGATACAGCATTGAATCTGCATTCCAAATCTGCTTAGCGCCTTTGTGGACGAAGTTATAAACAGTTTTAGTGTAAAAAGTTGTACCTAGAAACTGCGAAATTGAACGCAGAGTTGAACACTCAGGTCACCGTCAAGCTTCAAATATGAAGTGACGGCTGCATGTTTTGGCTCAGCATTAAGCCGAACATGGCTGCCAAACTTGCGCTTTGCATGCACGATTTCCAGGCAAAATAACGCCCTTTTACGGCTCATAATTTCGCCCACATAGGCGCAGATATGGACTGCAGATTTGAAGGTCAGCGTTTTATGTCGCATCTAATGGTATGCAGCTTGTTTGCATTGGCCACTTCGATTTCTAAATTTCCTTGTTAGATCCTCTCCCCTCCCCGCGGGCATGTACGTGCATATGGGCCTTAGAAGAATATGATGTTTCGAAGAGACACAGAAGAAAAGGAAGGAGAGGAAAGAAAGCAGAAACGCAGGAAAACGGTTGGGAGAACAGTTTTGCCATGCATATGCGGTATGCACTTCGTCACGGGTATGGAAACTATTGAGAAACACGGTAAGGCGAAAGGATCAAACTGATTTGTTTGGATGGACATCCACGTTTTTTCGATACGAAGGCCAACTAGAGAGAGACCAACGCAGAGCCATAGTACAATCTGTAGTATAGTTGAAACGACCGAAAATTTCGTTGGAATCAATAACGAATAATCGACTTTTGGAAAATGTTCGAACGAAAGAATATTGTTCAATCTGTGCTTTTCAGATTTTTCAGGTTATTCGAATTCGTATTCGAATAATGTTACATCTCAGAATTTGAATGAACAAATATTCGAATGAATGGGGTCGAATATTCGACTACTCGAATAATCGGATAATTAAGTATGGTCTCCGACTACTATCTCAACATTCGAACAATCATACCTGTCCAAATACTCGACTATTCGAATAATTCTATATTTTTTGTTCTGTTTCTGTCTTCTTATTGGTGCACCATGAGTGTATATACAAAATAAAATAAAATAAAATAAAATAAAATAAAATAAAAATAAATTCGAATAATTTAGCGACTCAAACAATGCTGGCTTTTAGAAATAATCGCTATATTTTCTAGATTTGTAGCTGATAATTAGTGCTTAGCAAGTGGTAAGGTTGACTGGGTTATTGCTTGGTCAGGGTTCCACTTAGAAAACAGAAGAATTTCATTCAAACATGTAGTTCAAGGTGTTCCTTGTCTTTTAAGATGGCTACTAAGCCCTATTTACAAGGGAATGGTCAGAAGTCGAAGTGGCCAAACTAAAGAAGCTGTATATCATTCGATGCAGTATAGAACGCTGACTTCGAATCTATTTTCCTTATCTGCTTCTGTGGATGAAGCTACAAGTGGTTTTATTGTGAAAAAATCATACATAAAAACAGCGAAATTGAGCACATGGTTGCACTTTTAGCTCGCCTTCTGGCTTCAAAAATTTTAAGTATGCTAGCTGCATGTTTTGGCCCAGCATTGAGGCGAACGAGGCTTCGTACAGCTAAATTTTCAATTTCGCGCGTAATTTCTAAGCAAAATAATGGTTTTAATGGCTTATAACTTCTTCCAGAAAAGCGATAAGCAGATAAAGAAGACAGGTTTAGAGTCAGCGCTTCATGCTGCATCTAACGCTATGCAGCTTGTCTGGAATGGCCACTTCGATTTCTGACCATTCCCTTGTTAGTAACCTGGTCAAATCCGCATTCTTCCTCATAGAAGTTTCTCCCGAAGCTACACAGAACTTTCCCCAAAGCTACAGAATCAACATGGGAAACCTTTTAGAATAGGTAGTTGTTTGTAACTTATTTGTGATGGGTCAGTATTGCTTGAGTTTTAAGAGAGAGCACGACGAAGGCCTGCAGTAATAGAATCAGTGAACCTTTGTAATATGAAGAGGTGACGCATTGCTGTCTACATAATACTTTTGTGCGCATCTAAATCCAGTGAAGAAAAGTTGTGGAAATATCTGTGCATCAAATAGCTGCTTATCTGAAGTTGTCGGAAGTTATCAGTCGCTGAGTTTCACAGTTTCTGTTGTATTGAATTTTTACAAAGCTGTTATAGCTGTATTTTTGAGGTTTGTGCTTTTATTGTAAGGGATATTCCACATCTTTTACTTGGGTTCAAAGTAATTATTGTTTAACCTACACTTACTTTAAGGGTTGTATGCCAAGATGAACGATAGCTGGCAATAAGCATACTGTACTCCAACGGTTGTCAATATGTCTCACATTAAGTCTTAATTTTTGAAGCTGTATGTTCTAAACTGGATTGAAAATGGTGTCGAACAGTAAGAATTAGGGCATATAGAGCTTCTAGTGTTTTTTCCAATTTTCTAGATACCTTCATAGTGGAAATATGGAATTTGAAAAAGATTTGACCTACGCAGCGCATATGGCTGGCACAACCTATCGTTCATGTTGGCTGTCCCCCACTTGAAGTACTATTCCTCTATAAATTTTGCAACATTCTAACACTGGTTTTTTTACGCCTCCTGACTACAAGGGCAGCTGATGAGTATGTGAGTTATATACAGGCTGCCGCCACAAGTCAAACGGCTCAAGTCCTCACGACCGCTTTGCTCTGGCCTTGCGCTGGTTAACGTATCTTTTAGGTATTTTGACATGCGGGCGGTGATTAGGCTGGCAAGGCAAGTGAAGATCTTGGGATCAAGGGATGAATGTTGCCTAAACGTGCTGCCCCAAAGGACTGCTGGTCCTTCACATGCTTATGCAAGCTTGCGGACCAGTGGTCCGCTAAAGCGGCACCTTATGACGGCCTCCCTTCTTCACCCTCAAAAAGGCAACCTTGCTAACCATTCTGTCATATTATCATTCATTTGTATGATTGACCGATCGGGGACATACTTACACTCGACGAAGAACAGCTGAACTTTTCTTTTGACATCGATTGTTCAAATGAATGGTCTTTGATTTTCGAATATTCCAATAACTGTCTTCTAATCCCCGAATAAACGGGTATCCGAATAACTCATTTTACAAATCGTCGAATGAACGAATTATTCAATACAGAGCTTTTTCATTTATTCGACTATTCGAATGATTGAATAAGTGGACTTTTTCGAATATTCAACTATTCGAACATTCGAATAGTCGAATATCGAATAAATTATTCGAACACGAATATTTGATTCTAACTACTCAGACAATCGCCGGGGGCAGGCGGGCACCGGAAAAATAAATGTCTGATCTCTCGCACCCTGCTCGCGGATTTTTTTGGAAAGCAATCAGGACTTTTCGGAAGACCGCTTGCTGAGTTCTCGATTTTTCAAAGATTCAGCAATATATCTGCAAAAGATAAGAGCGAAAAAAAAATTCAACAGCTCAGATAATCGCCGGGGGCAGGCGGTCCGCAAACTCGCGCTTTTCTGCAGGCGGTCAGCAGGATTTCGGGGCGTGGCCAAATCTTCAGCGGGCGGTATTTGCGTTTTCTGCAAGCGGGCATCAATACAAAATTTTCTGCAAGCGCTCGTCAAACAATCTCTTTCAGCGAGCGCTGGCCAAACTTTCAGCAGGCGCTCAGACTCTTTTTACGCAGTTTCGGGCGTACGCCGAGAAAAGATGAGACTCTATGTGGCAGAGGTGCCATCGATGGTTTTATTACCCAAGTTTGGGGTACTTTCTTTCAGCGGAAAGTACCTGAGGGCTGTGCGGTCCTTCAAAAAGGACCGTGCGGCTCTCAATAATTTTGCATGTTCTCGCGGAAAATCTGCGAGAATGCGGCCACTGCGCCGCAACTAATCTGTAAGGAAACCGCAATTGTTCTTCAAGCATTCGTCCAAAATTTCGCTAAAATTCTTCCGAATTTCTGCAAGCGGACCACAAAAAATCAGCGAACTATTTTTCCGGTGCCCGCTTGCTCAAAATTCGCATGGCCGCTTGCCCCCGGCGATTATCTGAGAGGCGGTCTCTCAAAAATCCGCTGACTCAGCAAGCGGTCTTCCGAAAAGTCCTGATTGCTTTGCAAAAAATCCGCGAGCGGAGTGCGAGAAATCAGCAATCTATTTTTCCGGTGCCCGCCTGCCCCCAGCGATTGTCTGTATATAGTCGGGGGACCCGCGATGAACATTGACGAAGGGGTTCGCAGAACTGGCAGATTGTTATATTTTTAATTCAAATTTCGTGACTTACATACACTCTTTGGTGAGACAGTTTCGAACTCGTGACATTATTCCACATCCTCCGCAGCTACGCGAACACTGCGACCACGATCCCCAGTCGCTCCACATGTTATTTCCAGCAACAGTGGTCGGTTTTACTGTTGAATCATTTTTTGAGTCTAAAAGAATAAAACAGAGAAAAGAATGGATTATGAAAAATACCGGTGGTTGTCGACTGGACAGGTGCGGGAGTGGTTCGAGGCGGGAGATCAGCTGAAGTGTCCAGTATGCAGTTGAACTGTTGAATTATTTTTTTTGGAGAATTGCGACGCTAATCATTAATGAAAATAATAGTCGGCTTGTACTTAGGTCAGAAGATAAGTCTTGCACCAAGTCAATAAAATCACTCCAAATTCAAAATACCGTTTGATATGATTACATTAAGAAAAATCATTCTTTTTCTAGTCATCTCAAATCATCTTTCATTGTCTCATCTCGATCGAATAGAACTTTTCTGTGATTTGTTCACTCAGAATGTAGAGGTAACAACTTTTGATTCCAGTTCTGGTAACGGAGCTAAAAGGAAATTCCGGCTTGGTAACTGGGTGGCCTCCCTAAGTCATTTCGAAGGCTTACACGCATCCAATCGACTATTCGACAAAGAAGTGTGTTTGGTTCATGCTCTGAGGGTATTGAGGACGTCGAATGCTTTATACTTTCAAGACTTAGTGCCTAATTGTCGATACCTTGGCATTGCGTACTCGAATTATCATATTGGTAGCAAGACTCTATCGTCAGTCGATAAGCCAGTGTTTCACGGTGCATCTGCCTTTTTCAGGACTTCCGCAAAGGAGTCTTTGGGTTCACTATGTACCATTTTTTCGACGGCGTCGAGTTATGTATTCCCCCCCCCCTGTTTTTGGCGCCGAAAGCACGGAGAGTTCTTCAGGGTCAGAAAAATCGGGTTTGCCGCCTAGCGCCCTACATTCCGATTTTATCCTCAAAACCCTCACGAATTAGGGTGAAAAAACGTTTACCAGAAAGAGGAGAACGATCTGCATTGAATGACACCTCACAAGGGAAGGATACCAACTTAGATTCGCCTTTTGAGATGGGCATCAAAAAGTTCGTTAGACACTCACAACAGCAAGCCCATAACTCGCTTGGTAGTAATGCTAAACAGCTTGGAATAGCATATTTGATCAGCGTTCAAAGCTGATTACAAATATGCTATTCCTAGCTGCTTAGCGTTATTACCAAGCGAGTTATGGGATAAGAATCTGCTCGAAAAAATTGCTAGGATGTTGAAACATCATCAGATTAATTCCTTGAAAGGAATATACAATTGCAAAACCACCTAGACGTCGACACCATAACATCAGTAGGTCGAGGAGCACGCAAATTTTGCATGGAAAAGAGACCATAACTCGCTTCAGAGTAACGCTAAGCGTTTGGCAACAGGACATTTGAAAACAGCGTTTCAAGCTGATTCCAAATATATGTGTCTCATCTCAAAGGCTGAATCTAAGTTAGTATCCTTCCCTTGTTAGTTGCTCCATATTCGATGTTCTGTGAGCTTTGAGATGGTTGCATCTAGTCAGAGTAAAATATGGAGTCTAACAGGATTAAACTCATTTTAAAAACTTTGAAAATCCGGATATGAGTGGCAGAAAAATGCATTGTCTTGCATTTTGTTTATTTTATCCACTAGTGATCAATCTTCCAAAGTTAGAGATGTAAATTTCAAAACATAGCTAGAAAACGTTGGGTAAAATGCATGGATTCAAGAACCTGGTGATTATCTAGAGAATGTCAAAGGATCTGAAAAATAACACTGCTAGGAGGAGGAAGAAATTCTGCATCAAGCAATGCTTAGAGCATCTTAGAGTATCTTTGTTTTGAACAATATTGGTAATTGTTTCAAAAACGGCACAAACTTTCGAGCCGATCTAGAATGTGGTCATGCGTTAAAAAGGGAAAAGGTTGAAGAATTTAATGAAAAATTCTTGCAGAGAAGCTGAAGAGTTCTCGGATTACAGGCGGTGCAAAGTTGCATCTAGTCAGTTTTGATTGACAGGGCCAAACAAGATTTCACACTTATCCATGGATCTGCGCAGTTATGGCAATGTATCCAACAGTTTGATATATATATCGTCCAGTGGCGGTCCCAGGATTTTGGACGGGGGGGGGGGGGCAAAAAAAAGTTTTCAATGAAGGTGCGTGGCGTTAGCCACCCACTCCAAAAAATTGGAATTTTTTTTATGACGCTAATTTGAACTTTTATTTTTTAAGAAGTTTTGAAAATTATTTCAGTCAAGAATCAAGCCCCATATAAGTAATTTTCAAAAATTTCGCGACCCATTCTCGGGTCCCCCCCCCCATTCGGTCCGCCACTGATATCGCCGTAAGATTAAGAAGAAAACCGGTTTTTGTGAGATTCTTGAGACCGGGACTTGGTAACAATCGATAGATCTCACTTGTCCTTGCTTGAAGCTTGAAGCCGACATCGCTGCTGAGCTGTGAACGAAATATGATGATTGCTTTGTTCATATCCGAGACAAAAGATCCTTCGGGCATTGCATAACAGCACCATCTCAAGATTTGAACAATCACAAATAGTGAATGACATCGTATGCAACAGCATAATATGAGGAACTGACCTGAAACCTGTGTTGCGTAAATCGGCCTGTATCTTCATTTCTACGTAATCGACACATGTCGATGTGCACAAGAATGAGAAGTCTTCAATGAATTCAAATTCGATTCGTTTCCCTTTTGGAGCCTAAAATGTGCTTTTCATCTATCATTTATTCCGAGACCAAAATACTTGAAACCGCTTTGCATAAGTCTGGTTAACAAGTTCATACTTGCGCTTTAACGCGTTTTGGATAATTTCATTTGAGAACTGTGAGTAAACATGTTCAAGCTTCTTAAACATTGTATGCAACAGCGTTCTCGAGTCAGAATAGATGACAATATAATTGTTCCAGTTCTTTGATCTATCGAGCAGAGTACCTCAAAAAACCAACTGCATTTTTGATCTGGATTGTAACCTGGGTCAGGAAAGCCGGGAGACTCGATAGACTGCCAGTCATCTTTGACTTTGATCTTACCACCACATTTGGCCTCTGAAATTGCTTCTCTACTCAGATGTCGGTCTCAGAAGCTTTTGATGGCGAGAGAGTCCTAGAGTGTTTTGCTAGAAGAAGGAGTAAAAGAAGAAGGATATATCATTATTGAATATTTTACACTATGTACTTTTATTATGTATATTTTATACTTTTACTACATTTTTTGAGAAAGTTTGAGGTCTTAACATAAAACATGGAGTTTCAAAGCAGTCGTCAGATCTGTCTTTTCCTCCTTCCTTCTAAAAGTACTTTGTGAAGCTGCAACTGCAAAATTTATAAATTTTTGTGACACTTGCATGATTCTACCAAACCAGATTGAACCCATTCTCTTCCCTCGAATTTCTCAACATTTGTGGCGGACCACGGATGAAGTGGGAATGGAGATCCCAAAATTTTTATAGTGCCTTACTCAAATCATAAAACTGAATAGTGGCTCGTTTTCACTTATAAGAAATTAGAATAATTATAAGGGAAATTATAAGTACAATAATTTTTGAATTTCCAGCCAGCCTTGTAAAAGAAACTTTTCCAAAGCATCGTTTCCGCCACATCCCTTTTTCTGTGTTGTTGTTCTTGGGCCCGCAAAGAAAGATTCGGAAGCGTTCCAAAAATTTTCCGGAGGGCGCGGCTTATGCCATGCACGAAAAAGTTCTATCGCTCGCCAAAAAAAATTTCTCTAATTGCCACTGGTATATGCACATCTGCCAATGATAGATGGCTGTAAGTAATTCAAAACTACTTTTTGAGGGTTCATGATCTTCGCAGTTTGGACCGGAGAGTCCATTCGGGCACAGACATGCATCGCAACGTTTCGGATGTGGATAGCCTCCATTCTTGCACTTGTGCGGACCAGAACAATGATCTGAAAAGTTTTTGCTTTTTATGAAGGTGAAAGGCATTTCGACAGCATACCTGAACAATAAGCCCTGTTGACAATTTCCACATCAAAAAATGACAAAGTTTCTCGTTGTCCAATTGTACTTTGATAGAGGGGGTCTCTGACATAGTAAAGACTAGCTTTGAAGATGGTTAGAGTGCTATTAATACCTTGTCACAAGCGTTTTGCTCGTCTGATCCGCGCTAAATGCTGTGCTACCGTAATGCATAACTGATCCCAAATCGTATGGAATACCGAGCGTGTCTATATCTTTTTCTCGTTGCATGAAGTCACTAACGTACGATGGAAGAATGAAGTCAGATAAAACCTGAGGAAAGGAAACTACATATTATGAGTAAATGAGGAGGAATTTCGAGAATACGGCCTTTGGAATCGCTCGCCCATTTCGCTTCCTCTGATGGGCCAGCGCTTTGGCTGGGGGGAGAATTGAAATTTGTGCACCCAAAAATGCGTTTTCCCAGTAGTACCAATTCGATATCCTAATTTTTTTGGTATCATACTTGCTGAGAAAGTTCAAGCTTTAAAGTTCTGTTTTTGAAATAACATTTGCACACTCAAAGACAGTGTCTCACCAAAGTTGAGGTCGCGCGGATCTCCACATATCTTCTCCTATAATATAAACCCGATCCCAAAAAACGAGAGGATGGTCCGCCCACATGTGTGCTTCAGCGGATGTTTTTAACAGACGCCAGTTTCCGAACGGGGCCTTATTGTGTAGAGACGCGACTTTGCGATCATGAGGTCAAGAGGACGCAGAGGTCCTAGCGCGAACGAGAGCCCACGACACGCAGGGTACGCTTTGCTGCTGCAATGGCTGTGTTGAAAGACGCAAGCGCGTGATAAGGGTGTTGAAATTGCGAGCTGGACATTGTTGCAAAGTTAGTTATAGAAGCATACCATTTGATCCGCTCACATTCGATCTCAGTATTCACTATGCCACATTTCTGTCCAATTTTGAGAAAATCTTCGAAAATCTCGCTTTTGGGAGCTTTTGCTCTTGGTGAACTCGATTTTTCTTTCCAGATTGTAAGCGTGAGTGCGAGAGTGACATTGCGAAAGGAGGCTGTACAGCGATGTCTGGAGCAAAACAAAACTTTAGAATGTTGTGATCCATCCACTTTTCCGCCAAATTTTGAGAAAATCTCCCAAAATCTCGCTTTTGGGAGCTTTTGCTCTGGGTGAACTCGATTTCCCTCCAGATTGTAAGCGTGAGTGCGAGAGTGACATTGCGAAAGGAGGCTGTACAGCGATGTCTGGGGCAAAACAAAATTTTAGAATGATATGATCGGGTGTATGACTTTATGAACGATAGCATATGCCAGCCGCCAGCTGGGTACCGTACGCGGTGCGCTGACCGCTCCGCCCCCTTGTTAATTAGCCTAGGAATGCGTTGCAGAGATTGGAAAACTCTCTAATATTTCGTTTATGCTTCTTCAGTTGGTTGCAATTCGGATAACAGTAGATTTTAAAATTTCGATTAAATTGAAAATCATTTCAGATCTTCTTCCATCAATTAGTTCGCAAGCTCTTTTCAATGTATTTCAGTTATTTGTTCCTAGTTCGTTTGTCCAAACTGATCTTTCATTGTAAGTATGAGGGAAATCTTTCATGCTTGAAAAAGTGTTTTTATTCACATCTGTTACTAATTGACTATTATTGTGCAATCTCAAGTTTAGTCCAAAAAGAAGTCAGCTTATCGAGAATTATCATTCTCATTGCTGAAATGACCAACACGATTATGTCTTTCATCGAAAAAGTAAATTTTTGAACCCTAATCATAGCTAAAAACAGATTTTATTGCGACGAGGATTCAAAACAAGCATTATACTAATTTCAGTAACTTGTGTACATCATTACATTTGGTAATGTTTCGCACAATCAGATATCACTCGTTTTGCAAATATGCGGTCGTATCACACACACTTTTTCAGATTCCAGGAAAAGGGGAAATCACACTGCACTCATATTTTTTTCGAATTTGTTCTAAATAACAAAATTCTTTCAATTTGCTTCCAAAAACTGCTATCCTCAACATAAATTGATCTGTAATACAATCGAAATAGCGTGTGAAGTTGTTGTAAGATGTGAGGTCACTCAGACAATCATGCCTGAGGTGTTCTAGATTAATTTCACACTCCAAAGTTGGATAAACAGGAGTCACTTAGTCATTCGTAGGTAGAACAGGAAATCTATGGAAATTCACGGTCAACACATCAGCTGTTCATTGACTGGCAAAAAAAAAAGAAAAAGAAATTAAAACAATTCTGTAAATAGTCAAGCTTCACTCCAGCTCGCAACAAGCTTATAGCTCACTATCAGAAGTTGCTTTCAATTGACTAGGGAACATGGCCATGAACCAATGCTAGAGCTGTACTGCTGAGAACTTGTCCATCTTGCAATAGGCGGGCCTAACGGTGCGCACCTTACTGACACACGCCTGCCTAAGCGCGCGCTATCGTTCATAAAGTCCGCCACCCGATATGATCCACTTTTCCGCCAAATCTCGCTTTTGGGAGCTTTTGCTCTGGGTGAACTCGATTTCCCTCCAGATTGTAAGGTGAGTCGAAAGTGACATTGCGAAAGGAAGCTGTACAGCGATGTCTGGGGCAAAACAAAATTTTAGAATGATATGATCCACTTTTCTCCCATTGAAAATATCTCTGAAATGTTACTTTTGAGCGGTTGTGGCAATACATGTACTGATAAATAGAAATTTCACTTGAGAAAACTATAGGTATGAAAGACGTTTATTTATGGGTGTGCCCTACGCGCTTGCTAGCGACCCTTAGGGTCGCTAGTCTTATATATAAAGCTGAATGTGTGTCTGTCTGTATGTACGTATTTGCGGAATGGAAATTTTTATTTCTGAACCGATTTGTACCAAACTTGGTACACATACACCTCGGGGCTGGGCGGTTGTCATAGACTACTTTTCGTCATCGATCGATATCGATTTTATCGATTTTTTGCAAGATTTGAGCTACGGGGCTGGAAGTTGGCACTGGGGGGTAATCGAGCATGCTGATTACAAATATCGACAGGGCCGGGCGGAGCCGGGTTTGCCAACTAGTTATATTATAGGGACGTCTAAACAGGCAATAGAAGTTCCACTCAATTTGACCCCCTCCACGCTGAGAAAAATTTGCTCAAAGTAGTACGCGGAGAGCGATTCGGTACGCGCGGACGACTCCTTCGGTCTCCCCCCCCCCCCTTAGGCCCCGGTCAGACTTCACGCGATTTGATCTTCGCGATCTAATCGCCAAGATTTCCATTCTTTTTCATTTCACATTCAAAAATTTCGGGCTGGAAAAGTATCACAACCGAATGCAAGTTGATCGGCATGGAATGATGTTGTAACAGTTGTCTCGTCGCGATTCATTCGCGACGATCAGATCGCGTGAAGTCTGCCCGGGGCCTTACGCGTTTGAACATGTCCCTCCACTTGACATCCACCTCCCCTCTGTTGCTGCCACTGTGGCTGAGGCTGAAGTTGGAAGGTACAACTCGTCCACGTTGCTTCCGCGGGGCCTTCAGAAAACGGGGTTTTTGGGAACTTCATGCGATTTTAGGCCCGTACAGTGCTAGACAGGGTCTGACAGGCTTGCAAAATGCAAAAAACTCGGCAACTAAATTTTGGTGAGACACTGCCTTCAAGACAATAAAGTCAGATAAAACAATATCGTGCACTTTCCTCCTGGCTGTGACTGGTTGCTAAGCCGCATTGCCGAACTAGTGATGTTGCGCACGAGCGGTTCAAAAAGGAATTCAGTATAAAAGTTTTACTTTGATGTAGGACTGGGCATCAGGACGACTTTGTTCATGCCACATTCCAATTGCGTGACCAATCTCATGTTCAATCACACCTTCCTGCAACGGCGTTAGGTATCACCACTGCGTAGTTTTCATGCAAGAAACAGGCTTACTTTTATGCAATTTTCTCCAATAGAAACGCCCTGTCTTCCGCCATTTCTGCCGATCATTGAGTAGCAGCTGAAAGAAGCTCTTCCATATCGACAAAGTCCATCGCATTTTGGGTGGGACAATGACTACAGCCCTTAGGCGCCGTTTCTGCGGACAGGTCTCTTTCGCAAATGCTAATGCAAGCCGCTTGACGACCAGCAGTTCGCAGAGGACTTTAAAGGCAGTGTCCGAACTATGTTGAGAGTTTCGGGACTTTATGTCGCGTGAAAATAGCCGCTTTGACATACCCACCAGCCCCATCGCCAGCACATTTCGTGAAGCTGGAAGCGAGAAAAATTGCCCCGGAAGTTGGGGAGTTACGCCACGATTGGCCCTGCCCACCGAGGAATAAATCATAAGCAAGAGTGCGTATACTATCGCACACAGATAAAACGTAGGTTCCAACACGACTTTGCGTCTTAGAGGTCTCCATCTCGGTGGCAGGCATCTAAATTCAAATCAAGGCTCAAGGCAATTAGGCCATTTTTGACATTTTCGGAGTCTGCAAGCAGCATGTTAGAATCAGCGGGAAGGATAAGCCCAGGTAAGCGAAATTTTGTTCGACATTTTGCCGGGACGCTATCTTTAATGGCGTATCCATTTCTCTATCAGCCATGCGTTTTCACTTACCCTTGCCCTTGAAAGAATTCTATAAAATCTTCGGCTTCAGTAACATCAGGAGCATTCTCGAAAGTCAGACAAGTGACATTCTCCCAGTATCGTATTGCTTTGATGATGTTGGAAACGGCGTAGAAATCTAGATGATTCAGCTTTCTATTGAGTTAAATGATACTTGAAGTGTGTCATACGCACCAAGACTCTCATGAAAGCGATATTTGATTGGAGCCGTGATGGGCCACTTTGACTCAGGACTTGAATCGAAAGATCGACGACTCCTGTCCGACTTTGACGTGATATTGGATGCTTCCTTGAGGATATTGATTGCTTGTTTTTTCGACAGAAAAATATCACCTCAAAAATAGTTTCTGTGATATCTGTGCACCGAAGAAATTTTCCTCCTACCTTCAAACAGGTATGGACTGACAGCTTTTGCCACAGTCGGTTGCTCTATACTGATCGCCACTGGCTTTTTTGAGTCTTCTGCAGCCTAGATCCAAATTTTGAACTCATTCCACCTAATACTGGATATTCAAACCCAGTAATCAATGCTCGTTTTAGGGCCCAGCACTAACATACAGAAGTAAACGATTTCTTTTGCGGAAATAGCGAAAGGAAATTCTTAAGACATGTCGAACATGCATGCAGAGCTTCAGACGTGTTCACCTGCTTCTCAACTTGGTACATGACTGACACGCAATGTGGTCTTTCTCAAAAAGCTCGAGAATTTCATAATGATGCTGAAATAAACAAATGGTTTTTTTTACATCGCACAGTTAATCATTCATCAAATTTGGATTGTATGTATCGTTTGTTCCCCAAAATTTCCATAGGTACCATCGATTGAACAACCAATTTTCTGCAATTCGCTCTGCTGAAGCAACACGTTAAAAGAACGAAAGGCAGCGAAAGGAGAGTGCTCAAGCGGTATAACTAAGAACCTCTGGGCAGAGACTGGTACAATTTATGAGTCCTGTCTTATGTAAATAGTTTGCAAACTTATGTGCCTCGCATTGGCTTACCGAGGGCCCCGAGAATGGGTCGAAATTTTTAAAAGCTACTTACGTGAGTTATAAAATTGTGCAAGCGACTTTTTATGCTTGTAATTACTAAAGCAATTTTCTAAAATTCTCAAAGGATTTATTCTGGCCTTAGAAAAAAAATTTCCGCAGCATTATTCACCTATCTCCAATGGAGTAAGCGCCGCATTGCGACGGTGCCTGAAGAGAGCAGGGCTACAGAATTCAGTTACGATTGCAGAATTGCCCCGAGCAATTTGAAGAGCTTTGTTGGATCGCCTGGATCGCGGAGATTGTGACTTCGTTGGCGGGAAAAGGACCCCGATTTGACCCCCTCAGCAGGGTATAAATACCGGTGGATAAGGAGAGCAGGCAGAGCGTGAAGAGAGCGCTCCAGGGAGTTTAAAAGAGCCATCGAAGAGAGGCGGACTTCCCACCTTGGATAGATAGAAGCTGGAGAACCCTGCTGAGCGAATCAAATTAGGTCAGAAGGACCCATAGTTATTGTTAATTGTTCAAGTTGTTCAAGTTGTTCTTATTCGTTGTTGTTTTAGAGATAAATATCTTTACTTTAACCGTGTCTTTCTTGATCGATCCGGCTCAAACCGTTAATACCACTAGACCACCCCCGTTACAGTTTGTTGATTTGCGATCGTCTTTACGATAGCTCATGCATCACGTGAAACTGCATTATAAGCCCTCAGGGCAGAGGCGGGGCTTGCATGGCCACCGGGATCATCTACTCAATCTCCTGCGACACTTCTTTGGGCTACCGGGTTCAGGAACCTGCGAAGACAAATTTTGGAGTTTCGGTGAAGATCCTGGCACACGAATCCCAAAATCAGCACGAAAATGTTTGGAAGCTTTTTGGATTTATGCGAAAAGCCCAAAAATGAATCGCGAAAAGGAATGTTTGGCGATCACGCTTGAACTCGCGCCCTACCTTATCAGCTCTTCTGACCTAGGTTTTGCTATAAATAGCGGTCCTCTTGAAGGCAGTGGATCACCAGAATGGACCTCTTCCAGGTTTTGGTAGTTTTAGGTAGTAGACCCCTCGAATACACCGCAGCCCAGACCCCACCCTCCAATTTATGCGCTAAGTCCTGAATAAGCGTTTCAAAACTTTACCAATGACGCCCACTCAATGGAAGTGGGCGGGGCTGGTGGAGTTTTCAATCTCCATTATAGGACTTAGAGCATAAAATGGAGGGCGGGATTGGGGCTACGGTGTATTCGAGGGGTCTACTACCTAACACTACCAGAATCTGATAGAGGTCCATTCTGCTGATCTACTGCCTTAAAGGCAGTGGACAGGCAGAATGGACCCCTGTCAGATTTTGGTAGTTTAGGGTAGTAGACCCCCCAAGTACATCACAACCCCAAGCCCACCTTCCAATTCATGCGCTAAGTCCTGAAAAAGCGCTTCGAAATTCCAACAATAACGCCCACTCAATGGAAGTGGGCGGGGCTGGTGGAGTTTTGAAGCGCTTTTTCAGGACTTAGCGCATGAATTGGAAGGTGGGCTTGGGGCTCTGATGTACTTGGGGGGTCTACTACCCGAAACTACCAAAATCTGACAGGGGTCCATTCTGCCTGTCCAATGCCTTTAAGCGGTCACTAGTCATCTCGCTCTCGCATCAACTCTCGTCGATCCAAAAGGTGAGTGTTTGGCTATCGGCTATCAGCTGACTTAGTGATCTAATAAGAACCGTGCACTTTGTTCACTTTGCTGCAGAGACGTTGTCGAATAGATTGCAGATTGTATTACCCACTTCAGGCTCTGAAGAAGAAAGGCGATCTGCCGGAACGTTAGCCGATAGTCTAGTATAACAATCTGGTCACGGCTCACAAAGAACAAACAATATAAAATTTCTCTCCCCCTCCCCCCCCCCCCACCTCCTTCCCCGAACGGAAGTCCTAGGTACGCCAGTGGTGTCTTAATATCTCTTTTCAGATGTGATGGTTGTCACAGCATCGCCATACCAACTGAGTTGGCTCCGAGCATAAATCTCGGTTGCACTAATTGAACGCTTGTAGATCCATCATCCATCACTGATGGGACCAAACCATCGTTTCTTCCCATTGTTTGGGCAGCAAATATTAATGTGATTCAAAGTAGCGGGAAACCTAGATAATGAATGTTTGTTTGGTTGTTTGTTTATTTCTTAAAAAGAAGTAATAAATGGATGTTCTATTTTTTCTGTTTTGAAATTGCTTGAAGCCAACACGTGCCGGGTTTTGGCTCAGTATCATTTATCTGTTTTATGCAACACTCAATGGGAATCTTTTGATGCTGACCTTTGAGATATTGTCATCTCAAGATGCAAGATGATAACAAAATTTTTCATCTCATATTCTATTAGGTTGTCTCAGTTTTTCCAATTTTCTCTTTTTGTCGCAATAAGTCAAACACTTCTCACTTCTGATCAAATACAGGGCAGCATTCGAAAGAGCAAAGTAAACTCTATACGATGGCTTGTACTCAGATAATCGCCGGGGGCAGGCGCTCATGCGAATTTTGAGCAAGCGGGCACCGGAAAAATTGTTCGCTGATTTCTTGCGGTCTGCTTGCAGAAATTTGGAGGAATGTTGACCAATTTTCAGACGAATGCTCGAAGAACTATCGCGGTTTTCCTATAGATTAGTCGGCGCATTGGCCGCATTCTCGCGGACTTTCCGCGAGAATATGCAAAATTATTGGGGGCCGCGCGATCCTTCATGGAGGACCGCACAGCCCTCAGATACTTTCCGCTGAGAGAAAGTACCTCAAACTTGAGTAATGACACCGCTGCAGCATAGAGTCTTACATTTGCTCGACGTATGCCCGAAACTGCTTAAAAAGAATCCGAGCGCCTGCTGAAAGCTTGGCCAGCGCTGTTGAAAGAGATTATTTGACGAGCGCCCGCAGAGAACTTTGTATTCTGCCCCACTAGCAGGACATTCGACAGTAAAGGAGGTACCGCCTGCTGAAGTTTTGGCCACGCCCCAAAACTCTGCTGACCGCCTGCAAGAAAACGCGAGTTTGCGGACCGCTTGCCTCCGGCGATTATCTGAGTATACTCAGACAATCGCTGGGGGCAGGCGGGCACCGTAAAAATAGATTGCTGATTTCTCGCACCCCGCTCGCGGATTTTTTGGAAAGCAATCAGGACTTTTCAGAAGACCGCTCGCTGAGTCAGCGGATTTTTGAGAGACCGCCTGTTGAATTTTTTTCGCTCTTATCTTTTGCAGATATATTGCTGAATCTCTGAGGAATCGAGAACTCAGCAAGCGGTCTTCCGAAAAGTCCTGATTGCTTTCCAAAAAATCGCGGGGTGCGAGAGACCAGCAATCTATTTTTCCGGTGCCCGCCTGCTACCGGCGATTGTCTGAGTAGGTGTTTGCACCAGCTTCAGCAAATCACTAGCTAGAAGCTGAAATCTGAGAATTTTCGGATGCCCGAAAATTTGTAGAATTTACATCAGATCCCAAACTTCCTTAAGCATATACACTGAACGTAAGACATTCACAGTGCCGTTGGTGTGTTTGTCTTTGTGCTAAAAACGGAGAAAACTAAAGTTTGCAAGCTTTCAAAAAAGCAATGCTGCGCAGTTTTTTCACAGGTAAATGTATACTACAGTCCTTCAGTAATACCAGTACCAAATCTAGCTTTTTTTGTCAAGGTATTTTATGTTGTGATCAATATTTCTCGGAAACTAGAGTTGATAGAAAGCTGGAAATCTGTGACTGTACTTCAAAATGTCTGTAGTATACATTTACCTGTGTGAAAACAGCGCAGCATCGATTTTGGTTTTATCGATTTTAGCATGGAAACAAATACAGCAACAGCATATACGAACATGTTGTGTGGAGTGTATTTTGAGCATCCAAAAGTTCTCCAATTTCCGTTTCTAACTCGTGTTGTACTGAGTCTGGTGCAACACTTACAGCCATCTTATAGGCTTGCTTCGCTCTGTCGAACGCTACTTTGCGTATCAATCTGGATTGAGAAGGGTGTGACTTATTGCTTTAGAAGGTTAAAATTGAAAGGAAAACTTATGAGAAAACTAATATAATCAAGTAACTGTCTTATGCTTAGGAGAAGGTTATTTGAGATTCTTCAAGGTTATCTAAAATTGATTTGGATATATTTTATAGAATCAATGTCTCTACTTTCCAAATGTATCAACTTTCTGTATTTTTTATAGATTTATCACTTATCTTCTTGCAACACATTTTCTCCTGTGCACTTGTGGTATCTTTTATTAATAAGCAAAACGAACTAATTTCTTTGTGGTGCATCACCAAAATCTTTCAATGGTGAACTCACGTCATGTCCAAATTCTCTGTCTCCATAAACACGTTGGTGGGCGAGTTTCTTCAACTTTAGCAGAACATCTTCAACACTGTCTAGGCTACTCTCTCCGACATCGAAGTGAATCTGAAATTTGGCAAAATTTCTCCAAACGCCGGACGCTTGAGCTCTGTAGATGCGGATGATTGTTTTTTGACACCACAATGCAACTAAACTCATGCGACTTGAAAAAGAAGGGGATGGGCTTTTCTACGCCTCAAATGTAGGCTAAAACAGAAACACAAGCTCCTTCATCTTTCTTGTAACATTGCCTATGAACGTAAAGTATCCGGCGCACAAATATCTATTAAACTCTGGAAATATGATGATGGCAAATGGTAAAACATTTGTAAGATATGTAAGATCGTTCACAACAATCGCATCTTGTTCATTTTCAATCTTTGAACTTGATACATACAAATACAATCATTGTAATTGCCTGTTCAAAATGTTGTATTGATTCTTAAAGCTATCATTATTTCTAATTCTTAAAATTTACACAGTATTAAAGAAATGCTGTACTATGTCGGTGATGCAGGGTCTTGCTCAAGCTACCAAATCACTTAATGAAGCTTTTTCGTTGAAGTGCACGACAACACTTTTTTCGTCAAAGGAACATATAGGAGAAAAAAACTTCTAGAAGACAATACAAGCTTACCTTCAGTTCCTTCTTGCCTTTGTCAAAATCAGCTACACAGGAAAACACAAGATTCAAACAGAGTAACAGATGGTATATCATAGGAGCGGCCTGACCAGTGCGTACCATGGATTAATGCTGATAGCCGTGAACAAATGAGAAAAACCTGTTTAGCGCTAAGAAGATAAGCAATGACAGTGGACGATCCTTGTCGATGCTACGAAGTGAAACGGTCTAATCTGGTTTTCGAAGAATCAAAGAAGCCTCTATTGGCTACATCAGTTATTGGGTTTTGCTTTTGGCTTAGATGATCTCCTCATCGCTTTTGTAAGAATTTTGGGCCTTATTCAGGTATCAGAAAGCTAATGTCGATGGAAGTTATCTGACATGCTAATCTCGAATATTTTTGGTGCAAAACGTCTGGTGACGGTGGTAGATTAGGGGTCAAGATCACTGATTTGATGAACCTTATAGATTATCTTTCCGAATTATTCTTGGCAAGCTCCCAAATGCTCCCAAGCTTAAAAATTTTTATGACTTCTTTTTTCTTTTTTTTTTCAAGTTTTATGGAGGATCTTGAAAGGATCTTGATATTTTTATGTGCGCAAGAAACCGATTTTTGAATTGAAAAATTTTTTCCTTTGTTCCTGACGAAGAGCTTATAAAATCTTCATAATTCCCTTAGAAGCTCTTTTCTTCATGTAAAGGGGTGTGAAATTTCTCTTTATATAAACCTCACGTGAAGAATCTGATCTTGAATTTTCAAAGAAATCTTTCATACTATTAGGTCGGTCCAAAAGTTCTTCCCGTTTTTTCTGTCATGAAATATGTGAAATAAAGGTAGGCAAATGCTCTAAAGACTATCAGAAGCAGTTTTGCTTCCTCTTTTCAACAGTCATGTTTTGGAACCATTTGTTTTAGTGGTTTCTGAGATAATTGCTGAAATTTTAAACCCATGGTTTTTACCATGCTCAACTTTGGCGATTTTTCGGAATCTTCATTGTGAACTTTTGGAAAAGCTTGGATAACTTTCAGTTAGCGTAAACAAATTGCAATGCAGTGAAATTTTTCGGCACTTACAGGTGGCTTTCAATAACGTTCAAAATTATTTTTCTGTTGCTATCAAATTCCACTTTTGCTCATCCCAACACTCACAGAACATCAAACGGCGCACAACTAATGTGCCGTTCGATGCAGCTTCTCCTCCTCTTTCTGGGGGGGTTTTTTCTTTTTTCAATTTGTGAAGTCTTCGCGATAAAATCATCATAATTCGTGATTTTGAACCCGCCCCACACTGTATCCTGATATTTCGAAGCGACAAACGCTTTGTAAAAATAGTGTATAACCACAATACTTTGCAAGTATCAAATTCCGACGATTTGTCGGTGTTTGGAGCCCTTGTGTGTTTCTCGACTTCGCAAAAACGAAGACTTTTGGAAAGTTGTCCTAAGAATAATAACGAGGGAGGTACTATCAATGGCCGTAGCCTTTTGTTATGAGATGCATATCATTTGAAGCAGCTTCGAACGCTGATTTCAAATCTGCTTTCCTTTTCTGCGGAGACCCTTCTGAAGAGAGTTATGGAAGCCTGAAAATGCTATCTTGGGGGCGCTCTTTGAGTTTGAGAGCGGTACTATGTGTCGGTGGTGCAGTGGTGCAGTGGTTGATTGTTGGCATTGAAGGCGAAAGGTTGGTGGTTTAAATACGGTGCAGAGCGAACCGTTTTGCACTTTAAATATAACTCAAAAACCAGTCTAGTTCGTCTGCAGTCACTTACTGTAATACCCTTAGCAAATGTGACCAAAGGAAAAATCCTGGCAGACCGCTTGCTTGTTGAGATTTGGTTTCCTCCGCAAAAAATATGTACAGAGGTGAAGCGAAATTGCAAAGTGGGCAAAACACAGACATTTCTCACAAGAAGAACAGCGTATGAAATAAAACTCCGCGCAATTTTCATGCTCGCAAGTACCCATGGAGTTAAAGGCAGGAGAGAACATGTACATGTTCTTGATCAATAATAGCGCGCATTCCTTGAGCTTTATATGGGGGTGAACATGCTTAACGTTCATTCCTGTTTTACCGGTAACGAAGTCAGGTAGAGTTTCAAGGCCTCATTACAAGAAGTTATGCCCAAAAATTTTTCCCTTAGGTCACATCTGCCAAGGGTATTACAGTAAGTGACTGCAGGCGAATTAGACTGGTTTTAAACTCACATTCGAAGTGCAAAATGGTTCGCTCTGCACCGGATTCAAACCGCCGACCTTTTGCCTTTAAGGCAGCGTCCAGGCAAATCTGGACTATGGGGCTTTCATGTGGATAGCAATTTTGGGGCCCTAACTAAGGAACTGCTCAATCGGCAGCGCAGGTAGTGCTCTAACGGCTAAGATAATCGCCTCGAAACTGAACCCCGCGATCGTATTTCGCATGGATTCATGGCGCAAGGCGTGTGTACTGCCCGAAACTGCCATGGATCCATGCGAATACGATCGCGGGGTTTTGTTTCGAGGAGAATATCGCAGCCGTTAACACTACCTGCGCTGCCGCTTGAGCAGTGCCTTAGTTAGGGCCCCAAAAGTACTTTCCACGTAAAATCCTTATAGGTCCAGATCTGCCTGTACGCTGCCTTTAAGCCAACAACTAACCATCACACCACTGCACCCCGACGCAGATACCACCGCTCTCAAACCGCTCTCAAACGCCCAGAAAATAATGGTTGAAATCTCAGAGAATTGACTTCATATTCACCTTGCCTTATCTCCTTTAAGGCAAAAATGATGCACGCATTCGCGTGAAAATCTAAGTGATAGTTTTTACCTAATTTCTCATGTCAGAAATGCAAAAATGAGGATCTGAAAAAAAACTGACGTGAAGCAACGCAGTAAAAAACTTTTTGGAGTAATCATCAGTCGAAATGCAGTGTTTTTCGAGGATTCAAACATCAAGGATCTTCCGAGCTATCTTCGCATTTCTTAAAACTGCTACGTTGTCGCTTCATGATATAAGCACCAGTACATATGACCACCGAATTTTGATTTTACTTATGTTCACTGGGACGAGTGGCTAGTGGCTTTAGACGCCGCTATGACCAGATCGGACTCAGATTCCATCCCGTTCCTCTGCCGACCAAGCCCTCTACTCTCCGGCCGTACTAGGTACCAGAGTAATCAGAGAGGATAGAAGCACTGACCTGGTAACCGGGGCTGGCCCCGCAAATCATTGTAAAGACTCGCACGTATACAATTGACTCTTCGACTATGAAGTAGTGTGCGTTCTGCGCATACCCGCGAAGGGTATTTGAACACGCTGAATCCTTTGTCCTTTTATTTATGTAATCACCACTTCAATAAAATTTATCGCAAATAAAGTAAGTATTCGTTGGCTTCCTTTTATTTTATCGCCTACTAGCTGGCTTACCCGGCTCCGCCGTATGTTCCGAATAGAAAATTCCATTTCTTGACCGATCCGGACCAAACTTGGCACACATACACTTCGGGCCCCGGCGGTGTCACAGTCCACTTTTCCTTATTGATCGATGTCGATTTTATCGATTTTTTGCAAAATTTGAGCTAGGGGCTGGAATTTGGCAGAGTAATCGAGCATGCTGATCACCCCCACGGGGGTGATCAGCATGCTCGATTACCCCCCCCCCTGTGCCAACTCTTAGCCCCGTAGCTCAAATTTTGCAAAAAATCGATAAAATCGATATCGATCGATGACGAAAAGTAGCCTATGACACCCGCCGGGGCCCGAAGTGTATGTGTGCCAAGTTTGGTCCCGATCGGTTCAGAAATGGAATTTTCTATTCGGAACATACGTACATACAGACATACAGACAGACAGACAGACAAACAGACATTCAGCGTTATATATAAGATATCATTTATACAATGAATTATCGCTCGCACTAGAATTCTCACGAAATAGTTGTTTTATCATGTTTTTTACTGTTCGGCGTTTAAAAATGTTAGTCTTTGTAGAAAAAGGTGATTCTTTTTTGCAGGAAAACTGGTGATCGTCGGTGATCGATGGGAACCCGGGCTCGACGGGAACCCGGGCTGTCAATATACTCAGACAGTCGACAGCCATACCTCCGGGGGGCGGTCGAAATCTGGTAAACCTCCGGAGGGCCTTAACCATTGAGGGGCGGGGCGAAGGGGTGATCGCTCGTGGTGACGTCACGGTCACAAGAAGGCGGATGGGACCCCTCCCCGGGCTCGCAAATCTGTGCTCCGGAGGTGCTCCAGATTTGCAGGAGCCCCGGAGCGCTCTAGGCGTGCAGCACCTCCGGACTGCTGGTAGGTACGCAGCCAATTTGCGTAGGACCACCCGCTTGCTCACACGCTAGCTAGCGGTAGCGTCTCTTTGCTGATATTGATTGGTTTTGGCTATAGTTCTTCCCTACGCATTGCTCCTCGTTGGATGCCTTTATCACCCTCATCCTTTGTATTCCATTAGGTTTTTTCATGTGTTCTCGTCTTCGAACCTGGGCATCTTTGACGTAAGTTGATGTACTAGTATTTCTTATGACCTTTTGACAAGTATCTCCTTTCGTCCTTTGGACCATATCAAGGTAAGTGCCCCTTTGGTTTGTACGTCTCTGAGTTCAACCGGCTCATCCGGCTCAACCCATCCACTACTTCACCAGTGAGACCAATAATGGAGGGGGTGAGCCGGATCAAAATCGGATAAGTCTGATATCGGCCCGAGGTACCGAAGTGATTTTGTTCTGGGGTTACAGCTAGAATTGTAAAAGATTAGGGACGTATGCCCTGAATTGAACTGTATTGAAGCAGTATCGAAGAGTTTTTCCCATTCGCAGCCTTCAGAAAAAGTTTAGTGTGAATTTCTAGCGATTTCTCTCTTTTTTTGACAGTTTTGACATGGTTATATTACTCCATGTCTATTGGTTTTGCTTTGCTTTTCGTTAGCATCTTTTTACTGGGCCAATTACCCTTCAAAAATGCTTGCTTTTGCTTCTTACGATTCTTCCCCCAGCATTTATATCATCACAGCCACTTTTAGTTTTGCTTTCCTTTCAAATCACCTACTGAAAAGGTCATTGTTTCCATCGATTTTGTATGTCATTCGTGTGACAACATCAGCAGCTATTGTGACAGTGAGAAATTTCATCTCATTTGCCTAGCAGTTGTTGTACAATACCAGTTTTGATTCAAAAGTAATTTGGATAACTCCACGCATTCACTGAAAACGAAATCTAAAAGACACGTTTTTCATTCGCGAACCAAAGTTGCAAACTGTGTTCTGCAAATTTTCTAGTGCTTGGTCAATGCATTTATGCCTGCAGCAAGTATAAGTAGAGGTGATATGCTTATATAGGGTCCCTGCCATGCCGTTTGCTGGCTGACAATGGAGCGTGAACAAAATTGTTGCGCCCGTATTGGCGACAATTTGCGCACGCAAAATGGCTGCGTTCAAGTACTGCATCTCTGGCAACTTGCTCACGCGTTGCCGGCAAACGTAGGTACCGCAAGGACGCACTATGGTGAGCGGCAGATCTAGTAGCCTACATCTCAAGATTTTTGTGAGGTCGCAATGATGCGAATGTTCCTGCTTGTTATGACTCACCAGTGCGTCACCTCTGCTTCGCAGAGGCTCGCACTGGTCTTACTTCATATGCCTTACTCATCCTTAACTAAAGATGCAATGAAACTCACCGCGCAGTGCCGATTATCGCGAGTAAAATGTAAACAATTACCCATTTAGAATGCTTTTTCATGTGAGATCGGTGATTTCGCTTGGATGAAACTTTTCGCAGAAGAACAAATACAAATTTGAATAGGTTTTTGGACTCTTTCTGGCTTGGTAGCTACCATAAGGACAGTAGGCAACGTGAGCTACATCTTTGTGCAAAAACTTTCTCGAATGCTCAGGTAAAACCATGGCAAATTAATCATTTACGCAACCATTTCTTTTTGGCGTCGTCCTCCTAAAGAGTGAACTTTTGTCCACTTTTTTGGACTTAAGTCCATGGCTTGCACATTAGCATGCCAAGCACATCACCGATTTTGCAAAAAGTGGTGATACGGAACCAATTTTGCTGGCCAGAACCCAAGTGGTTCCGTTTGACGTGCAGTTTCTGAAAGATCCAACCAACAAAACCACTCGTACTTTTGCACGATAGGCTCTTATGTTGGTCGCATGCGATGTGCAAAATTTGGGCTCAGGACGTTGGCTGGAACTCGCTCTACGAATTTCGTTACAGACAGACACACAGAAATACACATATGCACACACACAAAAACACGTAAACAACCTTAGCCCGTTATTATAAGTTATGATAGGCTGCAGCAGTTCTCCAGCTAGTGTGCTTGTTGACTGCGAATTCAAATAAATGTTTTTAAATACCTGTCTAGTATAGAGACGTGAATCTCTTTTCGCTTATAACTTCTATATTTTCTGAAAGGCAGGAAAACGTATGAATGGGCGTGCGGAATGGAATGGAAAAATGGAAAAACCTACGCACCAGTCTCTGCGCGCTCAGCTTCAGTTTGTATTGTCACTAGTTGGCTTTCCTGGTCCAGCCCGGGTCACTGGTCATCTGCACTGCAAGTCCCCCCCCCTCTTCTTATATGTTGTGGATGACTTACCCTGGGTCCCGCTTCGAAACCGCATCCTCGTGATCCTGAGGTAAAAATGAGCTTCATCGCCCTCCTTTACAAGACTATGATAAACTGCTTGATTGAACATGATAAGCCCTTAATTCCTTAGAAAAACGTAAACAATTTATGAAATCGATAAAAGGACCCAACGAATCGCTGCGAAAGTAGTCTAACATCTGCGCAATGATCAAAAACATATGTGTGCAAAGTTTCAGCTAAATCGGTTGAGCGGTGCGCGTTTCTATAACGCACATACCCTCTAAACTAACAATTTTTGAGTTTTATATATATGTATGCTAGCTTGCTTACCCGGCTTCGCTCGGAACTGTTAAAACACTGTAAGAAAGTTCCCATCCCTATACCCGTAAAGCCTTTCCCTGTGCCCACTTCCACACTTTTCCCGTTCCCTGTGTTGTTTTAAAATCAGCATACCCACTTACTCCTTTGTGGCAACTCCCAGCCCTGTAGCTCAAACTTTGCAAAAAAATCTATAAAATTGATAAAAGTAATGGGTAATACCAAAAACTAATATTGTAATCGTAATCCCCATGCTCGATTACCCCCCTGTGCAAACTCCCAGCCCCGTAGCTCAAACTTTGCAAAAAATCGATAAATTCGATAAAAGTAATTGATAATCCTGAAAACTAATATTGTATTCGAAATCTCCATTCTCAATTACCCCCCTGTGCCAACTCCCAGCCCCGTAGGTGAACTCTGCAAAAAAATCGGTAAAGATCGATAAAATCGATGTCGATCGATGACGAAAAGTAGCCTACGACACCCACCGGGGCCCGAAGTATATGTGTGCCAAGTTTGGTCCGGATAGGTTCAGAAATGGAATTTTCTATTCGGAACATACGTACAGACAGACATACAGACAGACATACAGACATTCAGCTTTATATATAAGATAAATAAAACAACTTTCGCAAACTTCTGTGTGAGTACATGTAGATGTATTATAACATGTCGACGAGTCGTTGACCGCGTGAAATTCGTGATTGCGGAGAACGCGCCGTGCGGCCGAACGCTTCTGTAGTCGTCCTCACCCCACTAGTCGGTCGGTGGTCGAATTTGAATTCGAACTGGAGCAGGCCGACCGCGGCAGAGCGCGGCAGACGCCGCCCCTGAATCGCTTGCACGAGCTTTTTGCTTATTTTCTTCGTGTTTCTTTGCTATCTCTCGTATTGCGGAATGTTATGACAGATTTTCAGATTTCATACCCCTAACCTTTGAAACAACTTTTTGAAAGGATTTCAGCCCTATTGCAAAAAAATAGTCTAGAGTACACATTCTGAAGGGTAACTTGACAAAGTTCATCAAACCACATTTGTGTATATGTCAGTTACCGAAAAGGAGATTTTTTCATTCAAAAATCTCCAATCGCATCCTTCTTCCCGGTTTACCTTGGAAAAAAATGTAAAACAAACGAGCACAACTCCACGAAACAATAGTTAGTGGCATGAAATCTAAAAATCTGATTAAGAACATTGCTGTAATACGAGAAATAGCAAAGAAATACCAAGAAAATAAAAGGAAATCTCATGTGCAAGCGGTTGGCTGAGGAGCGGTCTGCCGCGCTCTGCCGCGGCCGGCCTGCTCCAGTTCGAATTGCTTCGTGACATTCAGCCGCGCCGCGCATGCTCCACAACAACCTATTGCGTTCGACGACACCATACCTTCTGTGACAATGACAGTGCCGCTTCTTTGCGGTTGGGGTCCAGCATGTTTTGCCTAATCATTGGTAGGATATGCTTAATCTGTATCTAAAGAAATAACCGTTTTCGATATGGTTCTAAGTCCACAAATCTCCTCATTTCGTTCATTTCGAAGAGTTTTGCGAGGATTATTTATCTACTTAAAAAGTTCGCGATTTTCTGGTGTCATTCTTCCTAACACCCTCCAACATGAATGGTGAATGTTTGTAATACCAAATGGCGAGTTGTTTTGTCATGCCTGTGACGTAATTGCACACCTCACCAGTTTTCGTAGGAAGACTCATCACATCTGTCAGGACCATTGCGCATACTTTCGGAACAGCAGCTTATCTATTATACGGAATGGAACTCATGCTCATTACGCTTATTATGGGAGAAATGCAAAGTAGTATCATCAGTAAACTTTGGAGTGTGAGATGAAGGGGTGGAAAACGATTTATTTCCAAAGCTATTCTTTTCCTGGAGGTTGCATCGTAAATGCGCTACGCAT